TCGCTTTGTTTGTAACCTTTATTACAAATTATTTCAGATTCAGCGCTGTATTATTATTCAAATGATAAGCACCTCAAGACATATAAAATACAACATCATATAATTATAAAACACATGTTAAAATTCCTATAGAAATTATTTGATAAATAATTGTATTGATTTCTTTTCTTTATGTGTGATTTTTCCTAATTGTAAAATAATTATGTGACCTAAAATTATATTTCAAAATGCTTGTTATAACGATGTACCTATTTCTGTACATGTTATGAAATAAACTTTGTTTTGTTCTGTTCTGATAAAGATAAAGATATTTTATTTCGTAAAAGAAAGATGGAAATGTATTAGAAAATATCCCTCCGTGGCTGGTATTCAAATTCGTGACCTCCTGCTTTCAAATATCAACACTATAGACCACTGAGCCCCTATCGCCGCTTTAAGAGGTTGTTCTCATGGTTATGAAGGTAGGAATGCTCTCAATCGTAACAAGAAAAATCACATTCATATTTGAGGCCCAAATTCCTTTAAATAATAAATATATGTCATTTGATGTATGTGTGATTTGTATGATGTGTAGTTGTCAGCCTTTGCTCAAGGCACATTTTTTGTGAATATAAAAACAAATTATTGAACATTAATTGAACTGATAAACTGAACTGATAAACACCAACAGCTATGAGAAAAAAAAATTACAACATGCAAACGTTTGAAGGCTTTTCTGTGTATTTGCTAAAATTAAAATGACCGGTCCTTGTTATTTCATTACTTTGCCATTAAATTGACTATCAAGCATTTTTCCATTTTTAATAACATTACAAATAGCGTACGTAACAATAAAGAAAAAGAAGTATTAGATTTAGAAAAGAAATATTATAAAACAATTATGTGGTTACACAAATTATCACATAATCTTGAGTAACATTTATTTTCATTTAAAGATCAACGTCATCTACATTTGAAGCACATATGTTTTGCACATAGTTCGCCTAGATTTGTTGGTCTTATTAATCTCAACTGCATGTAAATATAAATTAAGAATAAAAAAATGAAAAGAGTAATAAATTTAACTTTCGCGTTATACTCCTGGGCTTCCAAAGTGAAGAAACTACTTGATGTATGTGGCTTCGGGGAAGTATGGCTATATCTACGTTCGGTAGATATTAACGCGTTTATACCAATATTCAAACGAAGATGTTACGATATATATATTAGTGAATGGAGAGTGTGTACGCGAAGTAGCCCAAGTATCATGTTATTTAACAGTATTAAACAAAACTTTGGAATGGCAGATTATTTAACATTGATGGAAAATAAGAAATATAGAAATGTAATAACAAAAATACTGTTGTCCTCTCATTGCCTTGAAATTGAACAAGGTAGGCATAGGAACATTCCTAGGAATGAGCGTCTGTGTAAATTATGTCTTCAACGAACAATAGAAGATGAATTCCACTTCATATTAGAATGCCCGGTGTATAATAACATTAATAATAACAATAATAATAATAATAATAATAATAATAATAATAATATATCTTTATTTAAAGAAGGTTACACATTAATAACATACAATAACAATCATATATATCTTATTTCCAATGTGGCCTTCTGAAATAGAAAACAACAACAACAACAACAACAACAACAGGACATTAGAAGACAGTATATACCACATTGGTACAGAACAAGGCCAAATATGATTAAATTCATTGATTTATTATCATCCAGTAATGTGCATATTTTATACAGACTTGCAAAATATTTAATCAAAGCATTTGAAGAAAGAAAGACTCTCTTAAATACAAATAGTTAATTAAAATACTTAACTTAAATACTGTGTCATATGAAATAACAATTACCAAGTTTGACATTTTCGTTATCATAATTGTATATGAATAGTTAGAAATAGCAAAGCCGAATCTCTCAAATCTATCGAAAATATGTAGGCTTTGTATTTATCTTCGATACATTGATTCATTATTGTATATGCTCTCATTACATACTTTTATGCATGCATGTAAAATATTATTGTTTAATCAATATGCTGTTCGCATACGATTTATTAATAAACTTATGTTCTGTTCTGTTCTGTTTAAAAACAAGAATAATAACTGGCCTGTGGTTTACTTAGTAGCAAAATACCAATTAATTTCTTTGTGCTGACCGTTGATTGACCAGGATAGTGAAGAAAAACATTTCCGCACGAATATTTAATTGTTATTGCATGAACAAAGTCAAATACTATCTCATAAAAATATAAACGTTTTTATAACCCAACGTGACTGTGATATCAATGTTTTAATCTTAGTAACTTTCAGAAGCATCCCTTTCAGGTTAAAACCAGTTATTGTACGACATATTAAGATAAACATGTATATACTGTGTGTCACGTCACAAAATCCTGATCAACATGAACCCTTGATTAATTATATAAGACATTTGTTTACTGTCCACAAATGAGTAGCATCTAATAATATATTACAAATTTATTAGAACCCTCCTGAATTTAGACAGTATGTAATCATGTACCGCCAGAGAAACGTGTTATTAACCACTACACGAACCATTAACCACTATATGAACCGTAACAAGATTTTATTCAATTCTCATGCAAAATTCGAATAATTTCAAACATGTGCTTCTTGGGAGATCATAGATAGATCTATATGACATGTTATTGCAGTTTCTGTTATAGCCTTTTTTCCCCGCCAATTATTGAATAAACGGTTGGTCCCTTGTTGATAAGTATGCTCTTTGATTTTGTAAGCTGTTTACTGCAACCAGTGGAAAATATCAAGAAACGGCATGAACTTGGTTATTTCTAGAGAGGACAGATTTAGCTGAAGTCTTTGCAGGTATGATCAGGTGCTATTATCTTACCACTTAGCTGAATAGGGATAACATTACATTAGTTATTCAGCGTTTGCTAGCACGGTCGTCTGGTAAAACGTAGTTTCTCCATGAAAATAATATTGATTTGAGACATTGAATCTAACATTAATAGTCATTTGCCTTTCACCGCTGATTCAAGTATCATGTGGTATGAGAAGTGGATCACTTGCAAAAGAATTGGTCATAACTGGTTAGATATCGAGGAAAGCCGGTAAGGTATGGACCAGCCGCCGAAATTAGGCAAAAAACCACCATCACCACCAACAACAACAAAAACAACAACAACAAAACCCACAAGCAAACATTAATCTGGATCTTCATTGGCGACAAATTGACAACAAGGACATAACGGGTTTTATTTTGATATTCCGATGATGCAGAAGTCTTGCTTAATAAATACCGTTTCAAACATTTAACGGTTAAGGAGAACCTCAGGGTAGCGATCACTATGTTGCTCTCTGCACATTGTCTGATAATGGTTATACACGTAATTTGTGCCACAGTATTTTACATATTGTTCAGCAACTTTGTACAGAGTGTCATGGTGCAAAAAAATCAATTATTCTCCAATGTTTATCGTCAAAGATTACATATTAAATATTTACTTGATGAAACTGGACTTGAAATATCATGTTTATACGAGTTTAAAATAAATTTATTGAAATTTGTGCAAGATATTGGCATTTTAACAGTTGATCCAAATATTGGTATTGATCCTAAAATTGATCCTATTATTTCTGTATTAACAGTGAAAATAAATTCAGGATCATTTAATTATGATATTTTATCAGTAAACACTGGGCCGGAAGATTAGGTGGTTTTGAGAGCTGGTATTGCTTTAAGTTTGTACATGTAACACCCGAGTTAACCAAATTCATTTTTACTTATTCGGCACAATGCGATCTAAACTAGACCGCCTCCGTGGTCGAGGGGTTAGAGTCGATGACTTCTATTCTAGTTACCTCTCTGGCGTTGGTTCGATCCCCAGGAGATGCTTTGGTAGTTTAGCACGGTGGAAGGTAGTCTAGTACTGGTTTAACTCACTAGTAACGATGGTTAGGAAACTACCCGCCTTTATGACTGAAATACTGTTGGGAAAAGGCGTAAAATGAAACAAACAAACAAACAAACAAACAAACAGCGATCTAAACTGTGTTTGTGCGCCGCAAAACCGACTAAATTGTTATGGAGTTGACATTTCCATTCAACTTTAAATTGCAAGTCTAAACTTAAAATAAATGACCTCTTTGTTACGCTCAGCACATTGTCTCATAATGTATACAGTTTGTGCTAAATTATTTAAAAAACTTTACAGAAGTTACATGTACAAAAATGTAATGTGCATTCCAGTATTTGCGCCTGAGAGATGTTTTTTTCCATTGTTCTTTTCAGCCCAATAAAACCATTTTAGCCACACAAAACCTTTACGGAATGAAATAGAATCAAAGGCAATGCTGTGCAGACTCTATTTCACATATCCACATTAAACTTTAAAATAGCCGCGGACACACTGACTGAAAAACAATGCCATTCCTTTAGTCCCACTCCTGTATTGCGAGATGGATAAAAAATAACGTCACATATTGAAAAATAAAATTGCCCTTAGGCTTTGTATAATTAAAAATTGTTGTCAACAGGTTACAGACAAAATAGATTAATAAATTGAAAAGTCAGTCATTTTAAGAGAAACTATCATAAAACATCAAAATACAATAAACTGGACGGAAATAAAGGTAAAGTGATACTTTTAAATCATTTACTTATGTAAGGAAAGTTAATATTATTTCAGGTAATAAATGCACATTTATTTTTGTCTTTTGGTTTTTCTGCTTTTCAAGTTTTTGACAAAAGTGAAAATTATCACTGTTGTTTTGAGATAACATTTAACTTTTATTTATATGATTTTTTTTTTTTGGGGGGGGGGGGGGGGGGGGGAGGAGGGATAAGCGACTCTTACATTGGCATCACAATAAGGCATATACACAGAGTATTAAACATTTTAGAAACAGATAAAAATGTAAAAAATGTGAATTCTAAATCTAAACGGTTTGTATACTAATGCCTAATATTAATGTAAGCAATAACAATACATGTATTAAAATGTATTTCATAACATACCCATGCGGCTATTGAGTCTATGTAAAAATGGTAATGCACGGTCTTTTATATATTTTGAAGTGGCGTTATTTGCGTTATAAAAACAAAGCTTAAAGATGCTTTCACTGTTGATATTTTTTATCTGGATATGTGATAAATAGAATGTTATATTATACAATTATTGACCAGTGAGCCATTGAATATGATGTGATATTCACCGGCGATAGCCGAGGTCAATATGACTTTCTGCCGGTGAATATCACATCATATTTAATGGCAAACTAGTCAATAATTGTTTTATTATATGAATAGGCTATACATTTTTTTAAATCACTGAAAGAACATGTACGTCTTAACTATACTTAAATTAATGTAAACGTGCACCTAAAAACAACCAGTCTACCATCTTTAGAAATAAATGAATATAAAACAACTCATAAATGCATATGCCGGACGAGCATGTAGACAATAAAAAGTTAGGGCTTGAGCATAGCCGATATAGTATAGTAGTATATTAATTACAAACTCAATCTTTGAGACACCACAAGTCTGCTTGACAAAGAATCTGCCACATAACGGTCTTTACTAATGTCGAACTTCCACCGACCAAGACGTTTCCAACATCTATCATTAACTCCGGAATTGGCAGCTGTGGTTGCCCCACCAGACCGTAGTGAATGTAGACCTATGTTCAAATCCCCCGTAAATGGACGCAATCTACCTATAATACATTCCCTAGCCCTTGAGTAACTTGTAAATTAATTTGCAAGTAGAATTTGATCTAAAACATGACCTGAATAAATAATTGCTATCAAATATAGTCTGACTGGACAAAGTTAAATAACGTCTTAACATTTTATAAGGACAAGCAACAGACATTCCTTTACTTATAACTATTCCATTTCCTAATCTGTATTGGTCAGTCTTACTTTTCCTAATTTTCAGACAAAAATGGTCATCATGAAAAACAATATCGTTACACCTGATTGAACTAAGTTCATCATATCTCAAAAAGCCTGCGAAACCTAATAAAATTATAGACAAATCTCTGACAACTAAAATGTCTGAAGATTCTGAATATTCAGAACAAACGTCAATCAATGTCTTTGTAGACAGAGGCTCTTTTTAGATGTTGGTTTAGAATTGTTCCGTTTAGCATTTTCTAATAAATTCTTTACGAACGAGTTTTCAGTAGGATCCGGAAGTCCTTTTAAGCCATGCGCCCATTTCAAACTATACACAGTTGCTGAAATCACATGATCAGAAGAACGTTTTTCTAGTAAATCCGTAATATATAATGCGACGTGAATAGGAGACGCTGGTAAAAAATTGCCTCCCTTCTCAGAAATGAACTTGTCCGACTTCTTGAAATATGAACTATACTAAATTTTTGTCTTGTCACTTCGTGAAACCAACAATTTTTGTGCCATTTTAACAGGCAAATCACCGAAACTGTCTAACGCTACCCCTGTCTGGTTAAGGTGGTCGATAATCGTGTCCTTGAGCTTCAAACCTGAAAATATATATAAAACCTTCTATTATGTTGTCACAATTCTCAACGCTAAAAGGCATAATTTTTAAGGCCTTCCATCGAAAATTCCATTCTTTCCTCTGCCTCTTCTTGTCAAAACACCTGGCTGAAATTGAAACAAATCTTTAATGTAAAAGTTTTGTTTGTAATTTCGCCATCTGGAAAGATCAAAGGCCAAAAACATGCCGATCTCCAAATCGTTACCACCAGACGCACTTGTCTCCTATTGCCTTTTTAATACATTTACTTACAAGCCTCGGTGGTGGCACAAGCCAATTTATATGCCCTGACCAAACTTGCCTGAAAGCATCCACTCCATTAGTATAACAGTATCTTGACACAAAAAAATAGAATTGAAATTTTGACATTTGGTATTGTAACTATAGGCAAAGCGATCAATACTATGCTTACCACACATGTTTTCGAGCTTGCGGAAAACCCAGTTTTGTACAGACCAGTCATCACTATCACAACATTTGCTCAAATAATCTGCGTCAACATTTTCTCATCTAGGTACCCATAATGGTACTATTTTCATACTATTCTGCCTTCATATATCATCAACCTTTAAAGCAATTTTTTGAAGATATGGCTTAGAACTACCCTTATTCAAAATTATGGACACATTATTGTCGGTTTTCCACGTAACCTGTTGCCCTTCCATGCTTTCTATGTTACTCAGAAGAACCGTATGCACAGAGTCGAGTTCACTCCAAGTAGAACTAAGACCAGTCTCATTTTCAGACTTACTTCCTATGACGTCACTTCCAGACGTACCCTCTACGTAACTTCCGTAACCAAGACCACTGGCATCGCTAAATACCGTACAAATATTACTGCTACCACAGTCACTAAAATCTACGCTGTCACATCTGACATTTTCCATAAGACAGTTATTCATATCTTTTATGTTTTCCTTCAAGAAAATCATTTCAGATAATGCTTTTGAAGTCATAATGACCGAAGCATTCCAGCTTGCTCTTTGATTAATGCATGCATACATAGCACGTGATCGTAAGCTTACAACTGAACCTATCACACATTTCATCGACATCAACTGTCCGACCAAACAAGCTAATTTTCTTACCTTAATCAGCGTTCTGCCGCTACATCCCTGGTCAATTATCGAATTTACTAACCTTACAAAACGAAGCATGCGTTCTTCTGTTACAGATAACACACCTGATATGGTATTCCACACGTATCCCAACCAAACAATAATTTGTGTTAAATACCAAATACATTTCTCTTCTGCTAAAAGAAAACCAAACAGCTGTAAATCAGCTTTAATAAATTGACTTAAAGACAAAGCTTTATCAAATGTCAAGTCTCCGCCCAGACCATCGTCACGAAAAATATAATATTTTGTCCTTTGGAACGCCAGTGTTTCACAACAGCTCTCATCACCTTAGTGAATATGTAACCTGCTACAGAAATACCAAACGATAAAACGTGGAAAACATAAAGCTGTCCATCCCACTCAAAACCTAAAAAGGTACGATGAGAATCAAATATCATAATATGGTGATAGGCGCTCTTTAAATCGAACAAACATAGAAAATTGTCTTTTTTAAACAGTTGCTTAGCAACCGACTGATCCTCAAAAGTAAATTTATATCTAAACAATGACATATTTATATGCCTGCAGTCTAGTACTAAACGCGGCTTACCTGACCTGTTAAATGCTACTGTTAATGGAATAACAACATTTGGAACCTTTTTCACCACGGATATACAACCTTTTTGCAACAGCTTATTTATCTCAGATGTTACAATCTGAGCATTATCTCTAGCAGATTTGTTGTTCTTTAAAAAACCTTTTCAGGAATTACTTTAAATGGTACTTTATAGCCGTTTTCGATAACGTCTATTTTGAAATTACCTGCATTTGCCCTTTTCCAATGTGTAAAATTATCTCTAAGTCGACCAACAGGGGTCATAACTCTTGTTTCTACATTACTTGTACTTTGACTGTTAAAAGTTTGCTCTTTTATTTAAACAAAATCGGATATTTTTTCTGAACAAGAAAATTTACTTAACTGGCTAACACTTGAATCATTCGCCTATGTAACCTTGACCTTGCAATCTGCCTGCCAATGACCCGGCCTCCCGCACCGGAAACAAAGCCCTTGTTTTCGCCCGAGTGTCTGAATCCGAACGCCAACTGGAACTGGAGCAGACGTTGTAGCCGTCGCATCCCTTGATAAGGGGTAAAACGCCTCGACTTTAAACGCCTTTCTTGGCTGGCTTTTCGATCCGCCTGCAGCTGTGCTCGATACATTTTCTTTTCGTCATCGGATCCTGCTGCAAGTGGATGCGTTTCATATTCTTTAACCACACGCCATCCTAGGTCGCTAGAATCGGCCATTTTTTTTGACGGTACCTTAAAGTGTCCATACCTTCAATAACTTTCTGTGTGGCTTTCTCCGCTTTAGTCGATCCGCTAGAAACCAAGTTTTCGAGCTCGTTCCTTGCTTCAGCCAAACTTCCAAGCACTTTCTTGTTAAGCTTGAACTGTACCTCGTTTCCCCGCTTTCGAAACTGATAATTGTCACATGTATCCAATTTTAGCTTTAATTTTTCAAGCTGAGTTTCTGAGATACGTTTTTGAGCTTTAGTCATCGTTGTCTCAAACTCCAACAATTTGTTTGAAACTAGACCATCTATTCTACTCAACAGATTATTTTCTCCCTCTTTATTGTCCATTTTTGCCACGTGGTCACCCAAACTTATAAATTTAATTTTGTACTAGCGAAACGCGCGAAACTTTCAAACTTTTGTTTGTTTTGTTGAAGCGCGGGAAAAAAGACGCACGTGGAAGGCGTGCAACAACTACGCTAACGTTGCGCATACAAAGAAATTCAAGTTTATACTCATCATTACGGTGTAACTTTTAACTAAAATAGTAAATTAATGATATTTTAATCGAGAAATATACCATAAAGAACAATACGCAAAAAATATTTTTTGATAAACACGCGTAATTAACAGTTTACGATATATGCTCTAAATCTATTTTTAGACTGGGAAAATCCAATTTAGCCAGTGAATATGATAATACACCCAGTGAATATGATTGTATAAAAAGTTCTGTTGACTACTGTTTGGACCAATGAGATTGCAGCTATATTTAGATCATATAATATTCGTATATAATTCAACTTGTTGAAAAAAAAAAATGCTATGCGCGTCAGAGTCTCGCATAGATATAATTGTTTTTAACAGGTAAAGACTCTTCTAGGGATTGCAACCAGTTACAGGTAAATCGTAAACTCGAGCGGAGGTTCAATTGATACGCGAGTATTCGGTAGAAATTCTCTTCATATTTTTAAATCGAAAACATTAATATTGTGAAAAAATAGAATTTCTTAAATAAATGTCCAATGTCAACTTAGATTTAATGAAAAATATCATTGCAAATATGCGAAAATTTTGTTTATTGACAACCCTGGTTAGCGTCATAACAAGGCAAGCCAATTAATAGTTGTAGAAGTGTAGATGTATGCAATAGATTATAACGTTAACAATGTCGTCGCTTATATAATATTCGGCCAATCATTACAAAATAACAAGTGCGTTGCCGAAATTTATTCCGAGGTACTTCTAAAACGGGCCGAAATTTATTCTGATTTATTTCTAAACCGTTTCGAATGGCTAATTTCTTTCAAAAAGTAAGATGTTATAGATTACTAGTACTTGGACCCTTATAATTGATTAATATATATATTTGTTATTTTCAAGGTACGTTCCTCGAGTTTCTTGTGCAAGTCAGTTATGTGTATCAAAATTAGTAACGAAATTCGGTCGCTGTCGCATCATTCTTATAAATTAACCACCGTTTTCGTTCTCGTAACTGCTTTGACAGAAATGGAAGATAGATGAAAAATGGTTATTCATCTTAACCATTACCGCATGAGCATTCTGTGAAAAATGGCTGTTTTCATTGAAAAGTCTCCCGTTACAAGTTCAAATTGCTGAAAATTAAAAAAAACTATAAAATCTGCTACAATACTAAGCACTCAAACTTAACACACATGTTTACTGGACCATTGTCTTTGTACCAACATGCTCAGTCTTAAATTTCCTGTTATCATGATAACGAGGGGACATCTCAAAATTGCCAAAAATCACTATTTTGCGTTGATTTTTTCCATCAAAATTGATTTCAAAGTGCTGCATCATTAAATTGGATAGAGATAGAGTCAAAGGCTTGTCAGCGTTGGTTACACCGATCTGGGGGCATTTTTAGCTTCTCATAAGTACAAAATCTTTTTGGCGATGAGGGGGCTGTCCCCCTTTAAGCCCCCGAACAGAAGGGGCACATCCCTCTTCTGACAACCCCCTGATGTATCTTTTGGATAGGGGACGACGCCGAAAAAGTGGTCACTAATTTAAACAAAAACAAGTAAACAGCTATTGGGGTCTAAATAAGGCATTTTTTTCATCATTTGAGACAAAAAAGAGGGGGGGGGGGGGGTAAAAACGGCGTTAAAAGGCGTGTATATCTGGTAATGGGTTAAACGTCCAAAGTAAAATTTCGAGCATTGACTATTTGATCGGAAGAATGACTGAGTACTTGAGTACTGGAATCGATAGGCGTTGTCATCCCTAAAAAATCTGTATTGGACCTACACTTATTTAATATCGCCTACATGTATTGTATTGCTTTTATCATTTTTTTGTGAGTTAGCCTTCAAATCACGAGTTTATGAATGTTTAGTCTGTCTAATAAATTTTAATTTATAATACAAAGTAACAGGAGATCATACTTTTAATTTGTCTCTTGAACTAACACTTCTTTTTCATATTCACTTGATTTTTTTTCCAGATGAATATTAAAATAGTTGTGGTAGTTGTTCTAAGTTTAGTGATACTGATTTCAGCAATGCCAAATGTAAGTATGTCTTAGTTGATGTTTTTACTTCGCTTTATAAAACGATGACACTAGTCTTAAAATTATCCATTCATGTGCCTGTGTCATTTTTATTCTCCCCGAACCGCCGCTTTGACCGTCCGTCCGGACACCCGTCCATCCGTCCAGGTATCAACATGAAACTTTGTAGATAGATAAACCTCATTGAATGGAAGTGTAGTGCAAAAGAACCATAACTTTGTCTTGCCTAATTTTGGAGTAATTGCCCTTTGTTTATTTTTACACTTTGAACTTTGTCCGTGACATAACTCTAATACTATAAGAAATAACAACATGAAACTGTGTAGGTAGGTAGATCTTATTGAGTAAAAGTGCAGTGCAAAATGAACCATAACTCCGGCTTGCCTTATTTATGAATGATTGCCCTTTTGTCCATTTTTACACTTTGAACTTTGTCCGGGACATAACTCAAAATTCAATTCAATTCAATTCAATATATTTATTGCATAAAACATGTGACATATTTATAGCAACAAATTTAAGTATATAAAATTACCAATGGATAATGTATGGGTTTTATCCTTATTTGTTTATAGAAATATATATTATATATATTCTGAAGAGTTATTATATATAAGAATTTTGTTTTTTTTCTTTAACATTAGCATAATATATAAATTTACATAGATTATATATTTTCGGTTAGTTTCACTTAACAATATTTGAATATTTTTATAGTTAGGCAGGGATAATAAATACGTTTTAGATATACTACGATTTCTCAAATTTTGGACATATTAAGTAAAAAATTTGTAGATATTCTATATATTGTATTAATCTATTTATAAACTAGATATCTCTCCGTCTAGGAATACTTAGAGCGTCCGCGTTTATTGCCAAATCATTTGAGTATATCTATATTAAATATCCGTTAAAGATATTCTAAAACTTTGTTTCCTGAATAAAGTCGAGATAACTTTCTAATTTACTATTCATATTTAAATAAACAATACGTTTCGATTACGAGGAAGAGTTATTTATTGATGAGTTACCACTGTTGGATAATACACATCCAATATCCGTTTTTTAATCATATTTACGTTAATTTGAAATGTTAAATTGATTTTGCCATAAGTACATTAAACCGTGATTATAAAGTATTTCTTTAATCTGACTAGCCCAGTTATTACCATTATATGTATTTTTCTAATTCAGCATCCCTCATCAACATATTATAAGTTTAAATAAGTGAAGTGATTGATTATCCAAAGTAATTAGTTTAACCAAGTATTTATCAATATAATTTTTCGATACACATTCATTGGTGTCCTCCTAATTCGCCGTATAGAGCATCTACGTTTTGTTGAGCGTTTTACGCATAGAACTTTCCTACAAAATTTCGTATGTACAATCTCAATATCTGGTCCAGCGTGATGACCCCATACCTCCGCACAGTAATTAAGAGTAGACATTACAAGAGAATAAAAAGATATATTTTTTGGGATACAGGTAGTTCTAATTGGTTTGTAAACAATAAATAAATTGTGAAGTGAAAAACTGAGCATGGTTGAGGCGATTCTCTGTTGCGTGCGATTCAATTCCCGTTTTTAAACAAATGAATCACCAAGATTATTTAAATGACTAACGATGTCAATACGCGAGTTACATATATAAAAAATCAATATATGTATGACGACCGTTTTCAAATATCATTATTTTGTCTTACTGACGTTCAACCGAAGTCTCCATGTATCTACAGTAAGTTTGTAAATCATTTAACATTGACTGTAAAGATTGAGGGTCATAAGCAAATAATGCACCGTCGTCAGCGAACAATAATAAAAATATTTTTACGTCATCAATACTTAAAATAACCATTAAGTTACTATTTATATTTTCTTACAATAATCATTTAGGAAAAAAAACAGAGTATGCTACTAGCTGGGTCTCCCTGCTTTACTCCAATAAAGGATGTTATCGGATCTGAATTCTTAGATTCATATCGAATTACTGATTTTACAACTAAGTACATGGATTTAAAAGCTGTCATAAGTTTAGTTGCTTACCGTTGCAGTAATTAATTTTTGCCGCACATTACTCGATCTATTTCGATCAAACATTTTTTCCCAGTCTAAAATGTACATATAGCTTCTTTTTCATTGATAATGTTCGGATATAATAGCATGAAGAATGAATACACAATCATGGGTTGATTTTGATTTTTGAAAACCATATTGGTTATCTATTAATATTGAATTTCGTCTGCCCATTTAGTAAGTCCTAGTTATTACATTTTAGAATAAATTTTAGATTAAATATTATTCAATTGTGATTCCTCGAAAGTTTTTTTGCTTCAGCTGTTCCGCCTTTTCGAAATCGAACTATTATGCCTTGTTGCCAAGTTTCAGGAAGATACCTTCGGTGAATAATTTGTTATATAATTGAAGTAAGAAAGGGAAAATAATATCAAAAGAGTGTTTAAATACTTCGGCTCATCAAGTGATCTTCACCCCGGACTTTTTGAATTATTTTGACTGTAAACAGCATATTTCAATTCCGAGATAGTGAATAACGCATCTAAACAATCATTTGGACAATCTGTTCTTGTCGATCATTCAAAGTTATAATCTGACACAGGTTGCGTTCCATATAAATTATTGAAATGCATATAAAAATCGTCAAAAGATATATTATTTGACCCCGTTATTTTGTTTATATTGCAATTAAACGTCCTTCCAAAAAGCCTTTGGATTTGAACTTGCTAATTTTGAAACGCGTTTACCCTCGTTTACGTTTAAAAAAGTTTTTTACATTTATTCTTTACACTGTTATATTTTTTTTTTTATTTCAATAAATATTTTTTTATTTCTGTTGTTTTATGTCTTAAATAGTAATTCTTCGCTACATTGAATTTTCATTGCGGGCATTGTAACACTCTTGATTAAACCATTCTTTTTTTCTTTTGAAAATTTACATAAACTCGGCTTATTTATTTTCTGTTTTTACCAAAAAACACTGAAAGCATGTTCTTGCATATAAACTGTGAATTCTGTTCGACCGATTGATTCAACGCTTGTCAAATGTAAGTTTTGCAACGATTTGATCTATATTCGTTTTGTTATCTATTAAAGTCATCCTAAATAATTCAACACAGCGTTTTATCCCATGCAATATACGACTCGCCTATTCGGTACTACGTCATCACGATTCGGACGAAGGCGTGGTTACATCGCAAATGTATATGTATAGCGTTATGGTCTGAAAACTCGGTCGTTTCATAATATCAAAGAGGGATATCATATCAAAGTTTACCCGATGTGTTAAAAATAATCAACTGTTGACAATCCATTATTACCGATAAAAGTAAAGTCACCTATATTCTTATCGCTGTGAAGTCGGCCGTTACATATAATAAATTTGTTGTCTTACACATTTGTATTAATCGTCTTCCATGATTATCTAATATTGTGTTTTGTTTTGCTCGAATTTAAGATATGTACTCATTATCTATAAGATCAGTATTATCATCTATAAAATCTATCATATACTATAAAATCAGATTCCTTAGATGTTCTAGAGTTAAAGTCGCCAGTGACAAAGACTTGACCTTGAATGCAATATTTTTCAATACCTATTTCAATCAATTCAAAAAAATCTTCTTGATTGCGATTAATGACTTTTGAAACAAAAGGAGGAATATATGTACAGCAAAATAAATACATCCGATATTAGAGTTAAATATAGATTTACATAGTTTAAACCACATAATACCACACTGATGTTCTTCTATAAAGTTTTTATATAAATATTTTTATATTCAGATTTATAATATATTGTAATTCCACCAGAGTAGCGTCCTTTACGTGTGGTTATGAGATTTGTTTCCGTACAAATGATGTGCGTTATATCCTTGAATATTCAGGTTGTAATGTGTTTTTTGTTTGTTTCCGTACAAATGATGTGCGTTATATCCTTGAATATTCAGGTTGTAATGTGTTTTTTGTGATAACCAAGTTTCAGTTAAGATGTTTTATGTCATGTTTTTTATTAAATCCACAAAATCTGGATCAGCGATTTTCTTCCGTACTAACCCGTTGACATTCCATGATAATAAATCAAGTGGGTTCTCTTCACGACCTTCCCTATGATGTGTTGTTGGTATACTGTGATTTAAATTCAATGCCATTGATGAAAAGCTTTTCTCCTATGAATTTTAACATATTTCCCTTCCGTTTCTCAGCGTTAAAGATAGGATATAATTTTTGTCGAGCTTCGCGCCATTCTTTTGGAAGCTGCACCCCAACTCCAAAATTATTTGCTTTCATGTAGTCTTTACGTCCTAAAGATGCCTTGCGTATTCGTTCCCGGTCATTATAATAGTGGAATTTCACAATTATGGGTCGAGGTTTCTTGGATTTGCGATCATTGCCTAGCCTGTGTGCTCGGTCGAACCACTATATTATCAGCTTTAACTTTCAATACGTCCTTAATGAATTGTTTGACAAGAATCTCGCACGCTTGCGTTTCAAGGTCTGTACTTGCTGCCATATGTGATATTTCTTGTTCGTCAGGGTTCCATGCCGATGTTGTCATCACTTGTAGCTCCGTTGAAAGTATCCGTGTTTTACTTTGTGTAGACAAGACTGGGATTGGTGCAGTTTCTGATATGCCATAAAATATGACATTATCCCTCATACTACGGAATTTCATTCTCGGCCACCTTAGCTTGGATTTGAGCGTTGGTGCATTCAAGGGCTTTTTATAGTATGTTTCATAGAGTTACATTTTTCTTAAAGAGTTCACATCTGTTGTTGTTGTACTCAATTCTAATGATTGCCTTTCGTATCTGAATTAATAAACGAGTTGAGCTGTTCCGTATCACTGACCCGCTTGTCTATGTCACTGACTTTTATCGATAAATCACTGAGTTGAGCGGTCATCAAATTAACTGATTTTTCAATTCCATCGATTTTTAGAAACACTTGTTTTTTATGTTTTTTATGTCATCTGACATGATTTTAATGTCTTCCATCATATCAATTGCCCACTGAGGTGGAGTGGCAGCTGGTGTTATCCCGAACTGAGTTGGTGACGGTTGCATGTATTGTCCTGGAAAAGCCGTTGTGAATATCCAATATTGGTCATGTTACTCATATAATTCATGTTAATTAATGGAGAACCATAAACAAAGTACTCTGGTTGTGTATTGTTTTGGTTTTGGTTCTTTACACGTTTGTGTGTATTGTCGTCCGCACTATCGTTCAAATCTGATATCGACGCACTAGTTAGACCCGGTTTTAGAATGGTCAGTATGTTCATCCGTGCGTTCAACACATATGTCAAATAATGGTGAAATTTGTTTTCGCTTTTTCTTCTTATTTTGCTTTTTATTTTGATTTTTCGTTTCCACAGACATGATGAAAATGTGTTAATATACCTTTTTATCCAAAAGTTATTCCAAAATTTATTTTAATTTACACTTAATTCCATCTATTTGTAAGCTCGTAAATCCCATGCTTTCTCCATTGATCACGTGACATATAACATTATTCAAAAACTACATCTACATGTTATGTGCGATTTCATGAAACTTTGTAGATGGAAAGAAATCATTGAGTAGAAGTGCATTGCAAAAGAACCATAACTCTTTCTTGCCTAATTTTGGAGTTTTGCCCTTTGTTCATTTTTACACTTTGAACTTTGTCGGTTTGTCCATTACATAACTCTAAAAGTATAAGAGATATAGACATGAAACTTTTTAGGTATAAAGATCTCATTGAGTGGAAGTGCAGTGCAAAAGAACCTTGACTTTTTGCCTATTTTTGAGTTATTGCCCTTTGTTCCTTTTTTACACTTTGACCTTTGTCGGCACATAACTCTGAAACCATAAGATGTATCAACATGGAACTTTATAGGTAGATTGATGTAATTAAATAGAAGTGCAGTGCAAAAGAATACTTACTCTGCCCTGCTTAATTTTGGAGTTATTTCCCTATGTTCATTTTAATACTTTAAACTTTATCTGTGGCATAACTCTGGCACTACAATAGGTATACCTATGTCCAAAACCTATTCGGGGGGGGGGGGGGGTATCACCCGGTTCAACCGGTTTTTGTTTTGATTGTTTGTATTAAAACATAGGTATACAAATAGTACTTTGGAGATTTAAACAGAACGCTGTAAAATTTATGATTAGTTTCATAGCACAATGAAATAATAATAAAATTGTTAATGTTGTCATAGTTTGTATTGATCATGCATTGTAATTATCTTATTCACATGTCTACCCTTCTTTTGCCTTAACTTTATTTTGAATGTTTCACAATGGTAGGATACTACGACAATACTACGATAATAAGATGGAAATAATATTTTTTATTTTAAGAAATCGTTTGAGAATTTGAAATAATGTGGCGCACCAAAGATTGGCTTCAGAACATGATAAATTTAAAAAAAAAACACAAAAAAAAAAAAAAAAACAAAAAAAACAACAAAAAACCAAAGCAAAACAAAAAAAACCGCATTAGTTTCTGCCTTGAAAACGATATATTTAGATTCGGGGTTCAAATGGATTGGAGCATTTAAGAATAGAGAAATGCATCCCGTTTTCAGGACTAATCTAGGTAGTCGACGGATGTTTACAAAAAAAACCTATCCAAATGTAGGCATTTTGCAGGTGCGCGATGACGTAGTATCCTACCATTGTATTATTGAAAAATATTTTCAAACGGGAAATCTATAAAAACATTTTCCTCTGCAAGCATAACTTGTTTTGAAAAGACAACAAACATTTTTTTACTGCGCAAAATAACAAATTACAAAATTCCGACAACATGCGCCGGGACACAAAAGTTTTGTTGAAATCTCTCGAAAAATGTACGAAAATGTCGGGGAAAATTTAAGAATTTGCACACTTGCCCGATTATCTAATTTAAATACTCTTTTAATCAGACTATTCATTTGGAAAATTTGGCTTTTATATTTCAACTTGGTTACAATTGTGTAATAATGCTTCTGATGAAAACTGATGTCGGTTAGTACGTAATGCACATTATTGCATATGTTGCTATAATTAGTAATAAAAATGCGTTTCTTGTTTTTGAATATGACTTGCGAAAATCCAGTATTTGAGCAAGTGTGTCAATAAGCCATATTGGCGCACTTGCCAAGTGTGCCAAAATCCCATATTGAGGCTATTTCCGGTCATCAGGTACCTGTTGTCTAGTGACGGCAGAACGTCCGCGCGTATACACGTTACGTTATTGACAACGGCATCGCAAACAAAATGCCGTCGAGAGGACGTTAAAATCCTTGGTGAATCGCTTGATGGATTGAGATAATTTATTCACAACAAGGGCAGTCAGCTGACATTTATGCTTTTGTGGAAAGTATGTAAAACCATAATACAAAAAAGAAAGTCTTAAACATTGCTGCGGAACATATGCAATAAAGAGGTCATTACATCGGGCAAGTGTGCCTGTAGTCTACATTGGCATACTTGGTTCAAATTTGCCCGAGGGCGTGTGCCAATATGGACTAAAGACACACTTGCACCATGTTAAAACCTCTACTAATAAAACGTCAAAAAAAAGTAGGCAAAATATTGTCATTTTTGATGTTTAGTGGTTTAAGCAACGCTGACATAATAATGATTTAAAATGAAAATCGGATTATTGTTAACTTGATTGTATTGATGAATAGCCATTATTTGTGTATAAAATGTGTATTTTTATGCATTAAAGATTCAATTATATCTTAAATTGCTCTGAAAAAGGGAAAGAAGTATGACAAGAGCCTCCTTGAGCAGTATATTGAACTCTGTGAAGATCTTGAAAAAGGAGATATAGAAAACACTGAAGCAAAATTTGATGATGTGTTTACACAATTTAATGCGACATGTACCGATATATTAGCACATACTGAGGAAGAAGAGGCCATCGAAACGCTTGCGGTATTTGTAGTATTAGCTTTTGTCGTGTCTTGGTGCATGTAACATGAATTATATATTCATAGAAGAATTGACTTGATATATCCTTAATGTCATAGCGTCGTTCAAGCACGCTGCATCGCTTGTTTTCAATGTTATACCGGTTTTACAAACACTTTAATGCCATTCGTTCAAATATTACATTTTTTAAACGATTATGCCGTTTTCTTACATTTTTCTGCACTTGGTCACTTTTTCTCGTTTCAGTCTTTATACAATTCCAACTCGTGTATCATATATTTATTAAACAAGATTCATGTTACCGACAAGTTTATTGCAGGTTTGAGAAAGCAGTCACTTTGCAAAGTACTTGATATGTACATAAGTTGCTACCTGTTATATGATAAGAAGATAAACACCAGTTATTAAATTTCACAGGTTATATATAAATGTTAATAATTTACTTATTTAAATTGGATTTTTTTTCAACGTTATGTGAATAATAAACATCCTTCTTTTTATTTAACTTTTATAGAAAGAGGGTAATAAAGGCGGTATAAAGGGAGATGAAAAGGGAGGAAAAGGAAAAGGCGGGAAGAAAAATAAAGAAAATAAGGCAGTGGAGAGATTAATGACAATTTGTACCTCCATCGACGTTCAAAATTATCTTGAATCAGTAAGTATCATAATGTACATACTTATTACGAGGTTGGTTGAAATCACGCTAGTTTCTTCACTTTTTCTTTAATTTATTTTAAATGCGAAACAGACTGCCTATTATAAATTCAATGTCGCTTTTTTGTCGCGTTCAGAGCTATGTCATCTAGACATGGGATTTCATCGGCTTCAATCGAGCAATTGTCCTCAACCGAATAACAGCCCAAGAAATAGTACATGAATTTGATCCTATGAAACTCCCATACTTTGGCGGGATACTTTAAAAGCTTCCATATTTAGCCTTTTCAATTTCAAATCAAGGTATCCAAGTTAAAATATGAACGTATATGATTGATAAAAACGCTTAAGTGCCGTAGTATTTTTGCGCAATATGCAAATTAACTGCTGAAACGATTTACCGCTGTCGAAAAAGTAGGACAGCAAATTATGCTATAATTGAGGTTTAAGCTCAATAGTTCCTAGAAATTATAAGTAGGAAATAAATATTTCTCCATTAAACAAAACATTTTGATTAACAGATCAAAAGTTTTTCGTGACTCAGCAATTCTAGAATATTTGACGCATTATTAAATTAAAGAGGAACTCTTTTCGTGACGTTGTACCGCGGGCTAGCTGAATATATGCTAGCAGTTGTGAATAAATTAGACTTCAGTACTAAGGTTAGTATTATAAATATTTATTTTTGAAAATGCAACTAACAAGAGAGTTTTTTTAACACTTAACCACCCTTGTTAATATTTATGGAAGGAAGCTATAATATCAGTTTTACTTCCGATTCTTGTGTTTTGTTTACATAATTTTCTAGGTCACGATATGACTTAACTATGATAGATTATAATAGCCTTCGATCTGCAGATAACACTATTCTAAAATAGATTTTACCCAATCACCACTCCATCATTTCGGAGTACACATAATACATGTAATAAATCAGCGGATATTTACTTTGTTTACATGCAATACTTTAAAGGAGTCCGAAAGTCAGCACAGGTGATGGAGTGGTGATTTGGTAAAATCTATTTTTAGAATAGTGTTATCTCCAGATCGAAGGCTATTATAATCTATCACAGTTAGCTCATATTGTGACCTAGAAAATTATGTCAATAAAACACAAGCATCGGAAATAGAACTGATATTATAGCTTTCTTCAATAAAGATTAGTGTTGAAAAACTCTCTTGCTACTTGCATTTTCAAAAATAACTATTTATAATACTAACCTATTGTACTGTAGTCTAATTTATTGACAACTGCTAGCATATATTCAGCTAAACCCGCGGTACAACGTCACGAAAAGAGTTCTTCTTTTATTATTGCGCCAGATATTCTAGAATTGCTGAGTCACGAAAAACTTTTGATCTGTGAATCAAAATGTTTTGTTTAAATGAGAAATATTTATTTCCTTCTTATAATGTCTAGGAACTATTGAGCTAACACCTTAATTATAGCATAATTTGCTGTCCTACTTTTTCGACAGCGGTAAATCGTTTCAGCAGTTAATTTGCATATTGCGCAATAATACTACGGGGCTATAACGTTTTTATCAATCATATACGTTCATATTTTAACTTGGATACCTTGATTTGAAATTGAAAAGGCTAAATATGGAAGCTTTTAAGATATCCCGCCAAAGTATGGGAGTTTTATAGGATCAAATGCATTTACTATTTCTTGGGCTGTTATTCGGTTGAGGACACTTGCTCGAATGTAGCCGATGAAATCCCATGTGAAAATGACATAGCTCTGAACGCGCATGAGGGTGCGTCCGTCGCAAAAATGTGTGAGTCATTTTGGTTCAGTTTATTGGCTGTTAGTTGTAGAGTATTATTGTGTTATTCCTTATTAGATGCTATATAGTACAATTTGTAAAGTTGAATGTACACTTGATATTTAATGTTTTAAAGATATGTGCTTTGAAGGTTAATTATAGACTCAATTTTATTCTAGTACAATGGAGGATAAATCTGACAGAAACTTTTCTAAGGATGAACAACGTATATACTTTTATCTTACTCCAAATTTGACTTCACAGACAAGTAACAGTACCAAAACACCTGTGTGAAAATATTGAAATTACAATGGAAAATGAAGAGGACTACATAAATGTATTTGTTCATTTAGACGAGTTAACCTCGGCTTCTGAAAGCATAAAAAAGACAAACCTTGCTGTATTCAAATTGTCTAAAAAAAGTTCAATATTTCATTGATATTTTAAGAGTGTAAACATTAAGTGATCAATTCTAGTTTAGATCAGCTTATTTTACTTTACAAAAAGCCATCGTTATCCTCTTGTTTATTAAATTAAATTGTTCTATTGAAAATCTATAGTTTTTAATTATTTTTACTTACTGAAAAACAAAGCTTTGCGATACACAAAATGATCATGTTAACTTTGCAATATAAATTTTGACGTGTTTGTTTAAAATTCTTTTTTTAAATATTTTTTTAATAAGTATGTTATCTGTTTTATTTCTTGACAAACACACTTAAAGTGAACTTTTAGGGTGATATTTTTTACAGTTACCGCACATGAAATCAATGAGCAAATCTGCCTTCGTATTTGCCAGAATCATCCAATGAATTATTACTATTTCTTGGCAAATAAGTAAACAGTTCTAATCGTGATAGTGAACATATAGATATGGAGCATTTTTAAGCACCAATCTTATTTGGTGTATATCACTGTATAATGCAGAATATATTTACATTGATATAATATCATAAAAATAATGTTATTCATAACAGAACTTTTAAATATTGCAAACATTTTTTTATAGATACAGGTTGGTTAGTTTTCATGTGTCTCATAATTTTTATTTTAAATAATGTTGTTTACAAGAAAATATTAGCTAACAGGTCTCATTCTTGGGACAAAACATACTTTTTATGTGGTGTTATAATTAATAAGTGTATTTTGTTTTTCGATTTAATTGTAAAAAAAGTTCTTTGAAAATAAAATATCAAAATTTTCTTGTAAGTTTGTTTTTGTTTTCAATAAAGTCCCCGGAAAAACAATATTTTGAAAAAGTAAAATGATAAGTGTACATTACTGTGATATGCAAATTAAACACACATGGTTGTTATATATATGTTAACCATATAGCAAACTGTGTTTGTTGAATGTTGTTACATGGCCATGTTGGTAATAATATTCAACATTGTCCACATTTAAAAAGCGTCTTAGTTCATCAATTTTAAATTTATGGGATCGCGAAAAGTATGTATTAGGAAGATGAAGATAATGTTATATTATTTGTACCAAAAGAAACTTTAGAAATACATTTGAAGCTCCAATTTCTGGCAAGTTAACAGAATATATTTCTTCAAAACAACTTTACCAGTTAGCCTGAACACTCTTCTCTTTAGACAATAAAATAAAAAGACGGACGTCCGGCAATGTATTGTTAAGTCAATTTTCTTATCCTGTGATTTTTATGCCTTTACCACCAGTTATAAAGTAGAATCTAACACAGGCAATATGCAAAAACTAAGACATAATATGCAAAAGGCATTACATGGACTTAAATTCAGGATATCGAAGTCCATTATACTTTATACAGATACTAACATTACTTTGTATAAGTAATGCCCACGTTACTCAAAAGATCTTTCGATGGTTTTATTATGCATCGACTTCCAAATTATTATACAATAATTGACATGTTAGTCATCATACTTCTGTCGATTCTACTAGAGTAACATTTTCCTGAGTCAAATCTAAGGCTTTGTAAAATTAAGGTATTACCATCACCAGAACAAGTATTAACTTTTTTTAGATAGAACTAAACGGTTCCATGTATGATTTGGTTCATAAATTTGGTATACTCTCCCAGAACGTTTATCAGACTACACAACTGGTCCTAGAATTTCCAAGATGTCACTGGAATAAATTGTTTTGTCTAAACTTCTACGAATATATGAATATCCATTTTCAAATCATTGAAGATATATCTATGTTTTAAGCAACCATGTCCTGGATTATATTTGAACAAAACTTCACTTTAAGAATTATTTCAAAAACGCTAACTTATAATTGACCATTGTAATTTTTATGTATAACAACGACGTTCATGGCATAATATGGCCCCCTGTCGAAAATAACATTATAAAGCTTTATAGTTATAGGGTAGAATCATAATCATTTAAGGAACAAATATTATAATATACATGTTACAAATATGTATATGGTAAATGAGTTTAAATAATTATCTCCTACAAGCTTGTTCGTGTACGTTTTCATTAAGAAATTATTCATGATTGGTAGCATATAATTAGAGAACAAAATTTAATGATAGAAAAAACTGGTAATATTTGGTTTGATAGCATTTTTATCAGTTATACAGGTCTATGATTTGGAAAAGTTTCTGATGCCTGCAAAGATATATACCTATCTTTTTGCTAAATAACACGAGAGTTATAATAATAATAATAATAACAATAATAATAATAATAATAATAATAATAATAATCAGCAATATAATTACGACAAACACTTACAAAATACATATCATTATTGTGGATTAAAAATTATAACTTATGGAAATTAGCATAAATGTAATGTTTCCCAAATAAGGTCATTTCAGTCAATGTCAGCCTTCATCTATGTTTCAAAAGGTACCCCATTGTAACATATAAACACCACATTTGAAGAAGGACTAAAACGGCGACATTCATATTCAGGCATTAATCGGCCGGTGTGACAGTTGGCATTTATCAATTAACAGTGTAAGCATTAAGCAGGTGCCAGTATGCATTAGGCATATTATTCTTCCTTATCGTTATAGAGCGCTTTATACATTTCAGACTGTAATTGAAAATGTTTTATACATTTTTGACAGTAAGCAATTGACAGTAAGATGTTGACAGTTTACAGTAGGCAGTTGACAGTAGGCAGTTGACAGTAAACAGTAGGCTGTCGTTTATAGCATTCCGTATCATTATGATTTTACTTTTCTTGATTTATTGCTCATCTGGAGGCATGCAGCTTATCCGTACAGTGTACTGTTTATGTAGCTGATGTTTCACTGCAAAATGATATAAAGTTGCTAAACCTAAACCTAAACACAAACCTAAACACAAACAAACAAACAAACAAACAAACAAACAAAGTATAGTATAGCATAGTTGACAATTGCGACTATGTTATATTAAGTCTGTTCGTGACAAAACTGGAAAGACTGTAAAATAATGAAATGACTTGTTTACCCTCTTACGCATAATGACAAAAAATATCATAAATTAAAATAACACATAGAAATGTCGTCATTGTAATCTACTTATCATTGGATTATAAAGAAATCGTGATTATCTTAACGTCAACTACCACAAATGCTTACCATGCCAATCGCATAGGGAACATTCAAAATGCTGATATAAACAAAAGCATGAAAACTTTCAAATTACATCTTATGTATTTTTGAAAACAAAATAAGGAGTAGTATAGGGGTCTCTTTGGCGCCACGAGTGCGCATGCGCGGCGGCCATGTTGTTTTCTATTAATAGTAACTCATTTGCATAGAAGAAATGACCTCACTACACAGGCGCGGCGGCCATGTTGAATAACAGACGCGCGGCGGCCATTTTGAATTCTATTTTAAGACTGACATCATCACGTTATAAATAGAAACGCGAATAAAAAAATATCTCCCGGAAGTATACGGAGCTGACTCGTATACACGATTTAGGGCTTGAATCGCGCACATTGAGGGTCAGGTGCTCGGCCCTAAACGGAGAGATGACAAGATAAAACAAAGAAATAAAAAAATTATCTTATTATCAAAACGTATCAAGTAGTATAAGTAAATGAATTGTTTATAATAAAAAAGTAATTATAACATATTTAACTATCATATAGATTTATCCATACACGAATTGAACCTATTTTAAAAAAAACTATATTGATGCAAAAATAAATATATAAAACGAAACCGATCTTAGGGCTTGAATCGCGGACATTGAGGGTCAGGTCCTCGGCCCTAGACGGAGAGATAATTACCATCATGACAGATAAAAGAAATGTTTGTAAATAGATACGTACTTAAACATTTTAATTTATAAAAAATAGTTTTTTAATAGGTTCAAAATAATATAATTGATACAAATATAACTCGTTTACTTACCTACATTTAGTAAGGAAATGACTGTCATAGCGTAACGTTCTTGTAGACTGCGCCATGATCTATTTTTAGTCGCGGTATTTCACAACCACCAGGAGCTATTTCATCAGCCCCACGCGGGTGTCAATGAAAAAAAAAGGCATTAAGTACAGTCGCCGCTCAGTCTAGATTCACAATACCTAGCGACACTATGTTGAACAAAAACCCTTTATCCTTCGTTACTAAATATAACTTTTATTAATCACAAAAGAATCTATTATCCTTTTCAAACGCAGCGACCGTCAAGTACAGTCGCCACTTAGTCTAGATTTACAATACCTAGCGGAACTATGTTGAACAAAAACCCTTTATCCTTCGTTACTAAATATAGCTTTTCATTAATCACAAAAGATTAATAGAATTGACGGACCTTTTTTGTTACGGTTGATAAACCGGAGGGGATGAATTAATTGAAATATGGACCAATGAAGATGGTTTTATTTTTACAACGCATCAATTATACAGATTCTGCCGAACTAAGGCGTGTTTGGTATCAAATGAAACGTCTTAAGCCGCTCTTTATGAATACGGACTAAAATCGAAATTAAAATCACTCATGCGTAAAAATCATTAAATAACTAAAATAAAGCTTACCCCCAGTCTTTACTCCTTGCCTATCAAACTATTTATGACAAGTTACTATAGCCTATCGTTAAACGGTCCAGTTTACGACAGGTTTAAACGGTATTGCTATTTTTGATTAGCCAATGAAATTGAAGAAACGAGGTTTTTAAACCATTTTTTTTTAAAGTTCATAAAACCCTTAGATTTATATGCCGTTTGAAAGATCTCTGCCAGTAGATACAGAAAATGTATTATTATATAGATCTATCTTTTTACTGTTTCTGAGATAGGAGAGTTTTCAATATGGCAGACAAAATCACTCATGCGGAAAAACGCGCATCACTTTTTCGTTTATGAACGAAACATAGTCATGTTTGTTATCAAATTGAAGGTCTTGACGAGTACATTCTGACGCTGGCGATAGTAAAGTTCATACTGGAAGTCAAAATCACTCATGCGTAAAAATATATATTTTGGTTACTAGAGCAACCGAATCCGATATGATTTTTAATTTGTTGACTACCATTGAAAAGAACAGTTCATTTTCCTTAATGTACACCCACATTGTCGATTCGATTTTCAGCCGTTTTTTGAGTTATGACGCAAGAGCGATTTTAAACCCTAAATTGCGAAAGTCAATAAAAACGTTACAACTGTTTTCCAATCGATTCATCTCGTCGCACTGATAAAGAAAATATATAGTTTTAATGGGTTTATTTTTACCGTTTTTGTGTAATTCGAGTTTAAAGTCACCGGAAGTGACGTCACAGAAATTTCAAAAAAATCGATTTCTTCGTTATTACTTGACCGAATATATACGTGTTTGGTAATCGTTGGAAAGCATTTTACCACACTGTTACCTGACGCTATTTAAAAAGCCATTGGACCGGAAACTGAAAATCACTGAAGCGTAAAAACGTGTTTTTCCTGTACCACACGCCTGGACCGATCTTAGGCGGTGTTTGTATCAATGAAATGTCTCAAAGCCGCTCTTTATGAATACGGACTAAAATCGAATTAAAAACACTCATGCGTAAAAATCATTAAAATAACTAAAAATAAGCTTACGCCCTAGTCTTACTCCTTGCCTATCAAAACTATTTATGACAAGTTACTATAGCCTATCGTTTTCGGTCCAGTTACGACAGGTTTAAACCGGTTATTGCTATTTTTTTATCAACCAATTAAAATGG